TAAAAGAATTCTCATACCTGGGATCAAACATTGATTGGAATGGGGACTTCAGTCAGGAAATCAGAAGAAGACTAAGAACGGGGAGTGTGGATATGAAAGAACTAGGAAAGTTTCTAAAATGCAAAGATATACAACTCAGCACAAAAGCTAGAATCATCCAAGCCACCCTATTACCATGGATGGATGTGAGAGCTGGACAGTTAAGAAAGATGATAGGAAGAAAATCAATGCATTTGAGATAATGTGGTGCTGGAGAAGAGTATTGAGGATCCCATGGACAGCCAAAAGGACAAACAAATGGGTCCTACAGCAGATCAAACCAGAAACCTCCCTGGAAGACAAGATGACCAAACTGAGACTGCCGTACTTCGGACATATCATGAGAAGAGAGGACTCTTTGGAAAAGACAATAATGCTGGGAAAGGTGAAAGGAAGTAGGAAGAGAGGAAGGCCACATGCCAGATGGATGGACTCTATTAAGGAGGTCATAGGTATTAAGGAGTTGCAAGAATTAAGCAGAGCAGTGGAGGACAGGGGGTCTTGGAACTGTCTCATCCATAGGGTTGCCATGAGTCAATATATTTTAATCTTTAAAATGTGTGTTGAAGGTTGTAATGTAAGAAAGGAATGCCTAGTTTATCGATGCTTTCTGTTCAGCAATTAAAAATAATTACTTACAAATAACAAGTCATTTGTAATTAATTCTCTTTTCATAGCAGGCCTAATCAAGGCCCTTTCGCACTACTCAAAGTTTAGTGCTATGATTCCACTTTAACTCCCATGGATGTATCCCATGGAATCCTTGGATTTAAGTTTAAGAAGGGATCTCTAGAATTTTCAGCCAGAGAACTTTAGTGCCTCACCTAACTACAAATCTCAGGATTCTATAGGATGTTGCCATGAAAGTTAGAATGGAATCATAGTGCTATAACTTTGTTGTATGAAAGCACTCTAAGGTCCAAAACACACTGCAGAAATAAATCCAGTTTAAGACTGCTTTAACTGCCCTGGCTCAGTGCTAGGGAATCCTGGGAATTGTAGTTTATTGTGGCACCAAAGCTCTCTGACAGAAAACGCTAAATGTCTCACAAAAATTACAGTTCCCAGAATTCCCTAGCACTGAGCCAGGGCATTTAAAGCAGTCTCAAACTGGATTATTTCTGCAGTGTGTTTGGACCTAAATTGCAATATAATTTTAATATAACAAAGGATAATCTCTCTCTTTTGAGGTGTAAATGTAAATGTGTCAACTACATTTATAGTTATGACGCATGTCTGGCACAACAGGCTGATAGCTTGTAGTTGTCATATGCCTTCAAGATGTTTCCAATTTATGACAACCCTAACACCTTGTAGAACCCTGTAGAAATTTATGACAACCCTATCATAGGTTTTCTTGGCAAGATTTTTCAGAGGAGGTTTGCCATTATCTTTCTGAAAGGCTAAGAGAGTATGACTTGCCCATGGTTTTGGTGGCAGAGCAGGGATTTGAACCCTGATCTCCAGTCTCCTAATCCAACATCCAAACCATGACACCACGCTGGCTCCTCCTGTAGGATTCTGATTTTCTGAAAAGTAATTAAAGCAATGATTTCAGTTACTTTTGAATGACAAGAAAGAAATCTTTGCTGTGACTATAAAGGGCCTTGGAACTGTAGATGTGATGAATTGCTTTTAAAAATTAAATTCCTCAGCTCTGTTTCTGTTCTACATATAGTTGTCCAATAGTCTGGAGAATAATAAAAGGCTCTACTTCTCTTATCTTTTAGTTATGACTGCAGCAACTCAATCTTTGGCCAGACAGTGAATCCTTTTGATCATAAAAGAACCCCTGGTGGTTCATCTGGAGGAGAAGGTGCTCTAATTGCTGGAGGTGGGTCTGTCTTGGGATTTGGATCAGACGTAGGTGGAAGTGTCCGTCTGCCCTCCAGCTTTTGTGGTATTTGTGGACTAAAGCCAACAGGAGGTAGGCTGAGGTAGGTATCCCTTACTCTGCCAATTTGATTGGCATTCTTTGCTGAAAACCATAGACTCTTCATGTTGGAAGGCACCTCAGAGTTCATCTACTGTAACTCCCTGCCAGTGTGAAGGTATAGTAACATACATATTTAGCTTATATGTTTTCCTTTTCTTTGCATATAAATGTATTCCTAATAAAACAACTTGTCATGCATTATTATGTGCCTCAGCAGAGTCCAATAACTGTGAACTAACTTATTTATTTGTAATTAAACAGAAAGAGATTAAACAGAAAGAGATGACCTCATTTTGCATCTTTGAGGTCACAAATCATTCCAGATAAAAAGTCAGACTTTTTTTCATCATTTTGCCTTTGAAGCAAATGTTTGAACTTTTATGCATGTAATGACGTCTTTTAAAAAAAAAAGATGGGGGTCAGAGCATATTGCCTAGTAAACAGCACCTTTGTGTATCAAATAACAGGTAAGTGCAGCCTCAATGTCAGTGGGGTGGTAAATACATGCCAGATTTTAGCTGGAACTCTTAAGATCCTATCCAGGTTCTGAACATGTTTGATAGATGGAATCAACATCTCAGATGCCTCTTTAAAGTTGGGCTAACACCCATAGTGGATTCACCACCCCACTGATATGGCAGGCACCAGTTCCCACTACTTTGCAGGAAACTTCTAGAGGCATTGGATCAGGGCAGTGCTAATGCTTATTCTTCAAAGTCAAGGTGGTGATGTTGAGCCCCATACTGACAGAAAAGTGGGATAGAAACTTAATAAATTAATAAGTTTTGCATAATGTGTAGTTGGATGATAAATCTGTTCAATGATGCTATCCATGAACCTTTAAGTGGATGTCTCAGATTTGCTCTTCTTGTTGTCCTACCTTTCTGTATACTACAGCAATTCAGGAGTGAGGGGCCCTATTGATGGAATACTCTCAGGTAAATTATGTCTTCTTTTTTTCTTTCCTGAAGAGAGAAAACAGTCAGAATGGGATGTGGTTAAATTACACACTTCCACTCTAAACTTGGTGGGGTGAACATCTGATCATCATGCATGATATGATCCCAGTTTGGGACTCTTTCTTGCTTTTGACCAGGCTGTAGAAATGGGAGATAATTTGTTTTTTGTTTTTTATAAGAATTTATCAAATTTTGCTAATTTCCTCTTATTTAAAATGGAATGAACTGGAGGTTTTAAAAATTTGAATGCAGGACCTGGGGCATCACTAAGGGAGTGTGGACAGAACAGTTTGGCAGAAATGGGCTGTGGTGTTTGCCTGCATCCCTTTAAAATGCTGAAGAGATGGGGAAAAGCTCATGGGAGGAGAAAGGAGTGGCCCCTGGTTTTAAAAAATTAAATTAAAAATTAAAAAAAATATCCTTTTACATTTTTCTTTAAAAACATCACATCTTACCAAATTTCCACTTTAACCACATAAAACTATGTAAGTGTAAAATTCATTTAGGCTGTGCTTATGCTATTGAAACTTAAAGGTATAATTTTAATTTTGCTAGTTGTTTATGTCACAACCATTAGGTTCAGTGATATACCGAAATTATGGTTTTTGAGTAACATTAGTACAAAAAACATAACTATGGATTCTGTATGGTGTGGTATGGGAGGTAGTCAATGAGAGTGGATGACATCATGAGTCTAGATCTGTCTTTATTAAAATATGTTAGTCCTAGCTTGGCATTCTTCTTCTTTTATTTAACAACTATGTAGTACAACATAATAAAATATGGTTCTTACTATTCTGGGAATAATCATACTATGGTAATAATAATAAATAAATAATAAAATTTATTTATATCCCGCCCTTTGGTAACCCAATCAGGGCGGCTTACAACAGTAAAACATATACAAATCCAATCCCACAAACCCCTCCCCCCTTAAAACAGTATTAAATCAATAAAGATTAAAACAATTAAAAACAAACAACAAGTACAATTCAATAAACTACACACAAGCAATATATAGACCAGCGGCCATGATCCTACCATCCTTAGATGGGCCACGTAAGGATCAATGGGGTGGGCATATCCGATTGCATATTATTAGTTTTTGGTTTTGAGGAGTTTACCCAAATTTGGAAATTGATTTATACTTTTTATGTTGGATGAAAAGAATGTGAACAATTTTGTATTCAGAAGAAACTGAAAATGACATAATTTCACAATTATATTCACTAATAAATTTCCAGTTTTCCCTCTCCAGGTTTCTGTTGCCTCTCTTTTCTATGCTTTGTTGTGGGCCTTCCTTTCTTCCTCCCCCCTTCAAATGCAGACATTAAAAATGCAGCCATAAAATTGTTTAATATACTCTCATTTCTCAGCCTGACACCTCCCAATTCATCTCGGCTACAATGCCCATCATCCCCAGCCAACACCTATATGCAAGTCAAGGTTTGCATTCATCACATGTAACAATCCTTCTCTTTGAAATTAGTTATAGGAACAGTGGGGCCAATGGCAAGGGATGTGGATAGCCTGGTACTCTGCATGAAGGCTCTCTTATGTGAAGATCTGTTCCAACTGGATCCCATGGTGCCACCCATGCCATTCAATGAAGAGGTAAGTGAAAGACTGGAGTGCAAGCTCTCCTGTGTGGGGCATTGTTCCTGTGGCTTCAGACCTTGTTGCTGAATTCAGAGCTTGGAACAATTACTGTACTGTCCGGACTGTATCATGCTGTTCAGGAGATTTAGAGTTGCAGTTCAAAAAAATAATGTTTGCCAGCTATGGATGAATTTAGCAGTCATCTCAAGATTTCCTTTGGATAGTACTGTGGGCAGAACTCTCAGAAGAGAAAAGGCTGAGCTGTGGAGAACTTTTTCACATTCTCCATGGTGTTTTCTTCATTTCACATTTAAGCTGTTGCATGATTTGCCCCCTTTCCCTTTCTTTGCTCTGAAACAGAGGTGTAATTGTGTAACCCTCTATATTTTGAACTGTAGCACCCAGCATAAATAAATAAATAAATAAATAAATAAATAAATAAATAAATGGCTACACTGTTGGTTAGGGCTTCTGGGACTTGCAATCTGAAGAATTGCCTGATTGCTACCACCACTCTAAAACATTTTATATTATATACAGTTGCATAATGCCATATTATTGACATGTTTTTGACATACTGCAGAACAAATAATACAGCTTAGCAGATGAGACTTAAGGAGCCCAAACATATATATTTGAAGAACATGCTTTAGTTTGAATTTACAATTCCTAATGACAATTGAGGATTTGCATTTGAGATGCATTTACAACATTCATGGTTCTCTACAAATGGAAGACAGAGATGCCTGATTTTCCTTCCAAATTGTAAGCAATCTTTAACATTGGTAGAAGAAAATGGAAACAAGACAAAGGGGTTCGGGCATATTATTTTCATGCCTGGCCTCAGGGCCAAAGCTGTTTTCAAGACCATGTCCACTTATGCACTGCTATAATATAAAATACTCCCAAACCTACTATAAATGCATTCCCAGAATTGAGACAGAGGTTCAGTTGCTAGGTTTAGATATAATTTGGTGTCCTCCCCCCCAAGATGGTGTAAATGAGTAACATGAAAGGGAGACATAAACCAATGATTGATTGATTTAGTTACATTTATATTGTATGGTCCCTTAGGATGATGTACCTAGCTCTCCCCTTCCTCACTTTATCCCCACACCATAACCCTATCCATAAGGTCAGGTCAAGAGTGAATGATTGGCCCAAGGGCACTGAGTGAAATTCAGTGGCTCACTGGGGACTTGAGTAGTTAGGCTGCAATCCAGCACCCAATAAGAGTAGAGTTACAACAGGAGTGGGAATTGTGCAGCTCCTCTAGTTGTTAGACTGCAGCTTGCACCAGCCATAGCTGGTGATTTAAAATGCTGTAAAGGATACAGTGAGCCAGGCCATCAATGGATTTGGATTATGTTCCTTTTGAGATGGTTAATGAACTGGTTGCACTGGATGTTTTATATAGACTGTGTATG